AATGAAGTGATTTAAAAATTTCTGAAATCAAATATAAGTATAAAAATTTGTTTAGCAGATGAACAAGTAATTGATTATGCACCATCATTTCTCAGAAGTCTTTAATCCTAGTATTGCAAAGTCACTAAAATTTTAGAATTGAAATTTCGAAACTTTAAAATCTCTAATTTTTAATATCTATTAAATATTAATCCACTTGTAGATATTGGCAGATGAATGAATTATTGCTTTTCAATCTTTTAAATTTTAATAACTGAGAAAAAGAAAATTATCTTCTGTATTCACCTACCACTTTGATTTGATAATATTACTGATTAAATCAAATGTTCATTTGATCAGTCATATTACAACATAACTACTGTCACTCATATCAGTACTACTAATGCATGCTAATGGAGACATCCAGATCATTGAACCAGTGAATTTATCAAATTTCGAAATTTTTTTTTCCATCAAAACAGGTAATTTTCGGGGAACTGACAATAACCGTTTTGTCGGATAAGTTCGGTTAAACTTCCTACATCGATGTAAACAATTTTTGGAAGCTTTTCAATTTATCAAATGTAGCTTTGGAAATACCCAGAAATAACACTGCTTATCATTTTTCCAAATAATCTAAAATGGTATTTTAAAAGTTGCAGTTTTTTCGTCGAGCTGTTGAAAAATCCTGACGATCAAACAGTTTGTCACCAACCTTCTTATTTTTGACAATAACAAAATATCATCATAACCCTAATTAACAATGATTATGAAACTCAAACCTGAAAGTGCAGTCTATCTGAGTTCAATAAAATATTTGTTTAAAATTTTTGCTATCATAAAGATATATTTTCCACAACAGTACTACTGCTATACATCTATTAAATAATATGCTTTTTGAACAAAAAAAGTTCAATAAGTGATCCCGGAAAAATCAAAAAAAAAAAAAAACTGCATCACAGCATATATGATCCAATCGTTGACATTTTTTAAAAAATTGAGGAAGATGAATATTAAACAATGTTACTACTACTAATACTAAAGTTTTAATCCAGAGAGAAAAATTGATCTATTACAAGTTTCAATTTTTGATTGATTAAAATTGCAATTAAATTCAATTGCAATGTTTTCTTTTGAAATTAAATGATGAAAAATAATCATTTCGTTTCTTTCTTTTCTCTCTTTTTTCTTTTTTTTTTTTTTTTTTTTTTTTTTTTTTTTTTTTTT